TCTGAACATAAGAACCATGGATACAAAACATTATTACTTCCTTCTAACCACATTTGCTTATTAAGAATCAAGAATGTATTGCAGTGCAAAATGCATCTGTTCACTTAAGAGTTAAAGAGAACTGTAAACCGCAATTCCATACAAGCACCCCCAGCTAAATCTGCCCACTAACCATCTTAATTGTAGGTTTAAGTGAATTTCAGATATTCTGCTGGGAATGGGGCTTTGTTGTTAGGGTTCATTATAAATAGGTTAAATCTTGTGTCATCCCATTCTGCCTCTGGTCAAAAGAAACTGGCAGATTCCTCATTAGGGAATTGTAAAAGAATACAAACTCAATGTATTTAGAATGAAAAACTCCTCTTTCTACAGCTTTGAGAGCAATTTCTGCCAGTTGCTGATATTCCAGCATAAGCTCCCCCCAAAGAGATCACTGGAGAAGTAGATTGTCACCGGGGGTAGTAATTGAGACTCCAGCAGAGTTTGAGGGATTACCGCAAGGAGTGCGGAGACTGGCACTGTGTGTGCTTGTGGAAGCTTCTAACCCGAGTGCTGTGTGATTAATACCATGCTGACCGAGAACTGCCAACGTTTGGAATTATGCCAGGGCCCTACATGTGCCAGAACAACAGAACCAGCTGGAAGCAGCATACAGATATATACTATAGATCCAACATTGCCTGAACGCTGTACATCACTGTAATAGTATTGCAATACTAGCCCCTTAACAGAGCTGACCATTGGACATGGACACTCTGTACATAGAACACTACACCCCCAACATGAGGACCATTGGAGATGAATATAATACAATTCTATTACACTGTATACATAGAACACTACACCCCCAACATGACGGACCACTGGACATGACCATAATACAATTCTATTACACTCTATACATAGAACACTACACCCCCAACATGACCGACCACTGGACATGACCATAATACAATTCTATTACACTCTATACATAGAACACTACACCCCCAACATGACCGACCACTGGACATGGCCATAATACAATTCTATTACACTATATACATAGAACACTACACCCCCAACATGACCGACCACTGGACATGACCATAATACAATTCTATTACACTCTATACATAGAACACTACACCCCCAACATGACCGACCACTGGACATGACCATAACACGATTCTATTACACTCTATACATAGAACACTACACCCCCAACATGATCGACCACTGGACATGACCATAACACGATTCTATTACACTCTATACATAGAACACTACACCCCCAACATGACCGACCACTGGACATGACCATAATACGATTCTATTACACTCTATACATAGAACACTACACCCCCAACATGACCGACCACTGACATGACCATAATACAATTCTATTATACTCTATACATAGAACACTACATCCCCAACACGACCGACCACTGGACATGACCATAATACAATTCTATTATACTTTATACATAGAACACTACACCCCCAACATGACCGACCACTGGACATGGCCATAATACAATTCTATTATACTCTATACATAGAACACTACACCCCCAACATGACCGACCACTGGACATGACCATAATATGATTCTATTACACTCTATACATAGAACACTACACCCCCAACATGACCGACCACTGGACATGACCATAATACAATTCTATTACACTCTATACATAGAACACTACACCCCCAACATGACCGACCATGACATAACCATAATACAATTCTATTATACTCTATACATAGAACAGTACATCCCCAACACGACCAACCACTGGACATGACCATAATACAATTCTATTATACTTTATACATAGAACACTACACCCCCAACATGACCGACCACTGGACATGGCCATAATACAATTCTATTATACTCTATACATAGAACACTACACCCCCAACATGACCGACCACTGGACATGGCCATAATACAATTCTATTACATGCTATGAGCAGGTAGCTAATTTGGATTGATGTGGAGGGCAGAGGGGCTAATCAGGCAGGAAGTAAAGTTACTGTACTGAGAGGAAGTGGTAGGGGCTCACAGAAAAGGAAGGCCGGCCCTGGGTTTGTGCACCCAAACAGATTTGCCAAGTTGATTGAAGATGTGGGGGTGGCAGGCTCAGGGGTGGCAGCCCTGGATGTTACAGCTATCTCTAACAGCCAGGAGGGCAGACCATCTAGGAGGGGTGGTAAGGGTAGTGCAGGAAGGCCTAGACAGCTGGTGGTAGTAGGGGATTCTATAATCAGAAGGACTGATAGAATAATTTGTTGCCAGGATCGCCTCAGCCGAATGGTTTGCTGTCTCCCTGCTGTCAGGGTTTGGCATGTGGTGAACGGGGTTGATAAATTACTGGGAGGGGCTGGGCATGACCCAGCTGTCTTGGTCCATGTTAGAACCAATGACAGAATACATGAAAGGTGGAGGCTTAAAGAACTAGGCTGCAAGTTGTAGGGAAGGACCTCCAAGGTGATATTCTCTGAAATATTACCTGTGCCATGTGCAACTCAGGAAAGACAGGGGGAGATTAGAGAACTCAATGCATGGCTGAAGACCTGGTGTAAGAGGGAAGGATTTGGGTTTCTAGAGCACTGGGCTGACTTTTCATTGCGGTGCAACCTATATGCTAGAGATGGTTTGCACCTAAATGGAAGGGGCTCTGCTGTGCTGGGGGAGAGGTTTATGGAAAGGCTGGAGGAGTACATTAAACTAGGATCGATGGGGGAGGGAGAATTAGATTATAACAGGGTAGACAGATCAGACGGGTCAGTACTTATTGGTGGGTGGAATGTTGAAAGATGGGGGGAAGGCTATGGCAGATGATAAGAAGATGATAAGAAGATTCCCATGTTACAAACAACCAGTGGAATTGGTACCATTTGTATGAAAATAAAAAATATGCAAAATACGTGTGAACAAGGTGTCAATAGATTAAAGTGTTTGTTCACCAATGCCAGAAGTCAGCAAAGCAAATAAGTAAGTTGGAAGCTTTGGGGCATGAAGAGAACTTAGATTTAATTGGCATTGCTGAATCTTGGCTTCATTCTTCACATGACTGGGTCATTAATATTCCTGGCTATGTTCTCTTTTGGAGAGACAGGGTAAATAGGAAAGGTGGTGGTGTCTGTCTCTATGTGAGAAGTGATCTCAGAGCGAGTGTGAAAGAGGACCTAGTTGATGGAGAGTGTGATGAGGATGAAGTATTATGGGTGGAACTGCACATTGGGGTGTGTACTACAAAGGTAATCATTGGAGTTTGTTATAGGCCTCCTAGTGTTAATGAGGAGGTAGAGACTCAGCTCCTTCCACAGATCAAAAGGGCTTCAAGGGCTGGGACTTTGATACTAATGGGGGATTTTAACTACCCGGAGACTGACTGGAGTAATGGTACTGCAATTTTATAATACAGCTCATAGAGGTCCCAACTAGGAATGATGTTCTGCTGGACCTGGTAATCTCAGACCATGCAGAGTTTATTATGAATGTCCATATAAAAGATTATCTGGGTAGCAGAGACCATAACATGATTTCATTTATTGTTAGCTGTAAACAGCAAGCACATATGGGAAAAAATAAAAAAGCTCAATTTTAAGAGAGCTAATTTTCCAAGGCTGAGAGATGCTCTCCAAGACTAAGACTGGGAGAGAATATTGGCATCAGTAACCACAACACAGAAAATGGGAGTTCTTCAAAAAGACTGTAATGCGAACACACTGCAAAATATATTCCCATGGGCCAGAAGTTTAAAAGACTAAAAATAAACCTATGTGGCTTATGGCCAAAGTTAAAAAAGCTATATATAATAAGAAAATAGCTTTTATTAAATATAAAATGAAGGAACACTATCATTGTTTAAACATTACAAAGAATATAACTGAATATGTAAAAAGGAAATCAAGTTTGCAAAAATTGAAAATGAACGGCAGCTTGCAAAAGATAGCAGGACCAACCCCAAAAATTTCTTCAAATATATTAATAGTAAAAAGGTCCGGTCCGAGCATGTAGGCCCTTTACAAAATAATCTATAGTAGGTGACTGGGGACAAAGACAAGGCACATTTTTTAAATACCTTCTTCAGTTCTGTGTATACAAAGGAGCATGGGGGAGCTCTTGTCCATAATGGGCATGGTATTGACACAGCTCCAGATGATCCACATTGGCTCACAATTGATATGATCCAAAAATATTTAGACAGAAAAGATGAATAAAGCACCTGGACCGGATGGCATACACCCGCGGGTCCTTAAAGAATTGAGCTCTGTCATTTCAAAGCCATTGTTTCTAATTTTTAGGGACTCTTTAATGACTGGCATAGTATCACTGGATTGGTGCAAGGCCAATGTGGTGCCAATATTTAAAAAGGGGTCAAAATCTTTACCAAGTATATATTATAATTATAGACCCGTTAGTTGAACTTCTATAGTTGGGAAGTTACTGGAGAGTTTAATAAAAGACCACATAGATGAGTTCTTGCTGGAAAAAAAATTTTAAGAAACAGACAGCATTGATTCATGAAAAACAGAAGTCTTCAAACAAATCTGATTTCTTTTTATGAAGAGGTGAGCATAACCTTGGACAGAGGGGTGGCGGTGGACGTGGTATACTTGGACAGAGGGGTGGCGGTGGACGTGGAATACTTGGACAGAGGTGTGGCGGTGGACGTGGTATACTTGGACAGTGGGGTGGCGGTGGATGTGGAATACTTGGACAGAGGGGTGGCGGTGGACGTGGAATACTTGGACAGAGGGGTGGCGGTGGATGTGGTATACTTGGACAGAGGGGTGGCGGTGGACGTCGTATACTTGGACAGAGGGGTGACGGTGGACGTGGTATACTTGGACAGAGGGGTGGCGGTGGACGTGGTATACTTGGACAGAGGGCTGGCGGTGGACGTGGTATACTTGGACGGAGGGGTGTGGCGGTGGACGTGGTATACTTGGACAGATGGGTGTGGCGGTGGACGTGGTATACTTGGACAGAGGGGTGGCGGTGGACGTGGTATACTTGGACAGAGGGGTGGCGGTGGACGTGGTATACTTGGACAGAGGGGTGTGGCGGTGGACGTGGTATACTTGGACAGAGGGGTGGGGCGGTGGACGTGGTATACTTGGACAGAGGGGGGTGTGGCGGTGGACGTGGTATACTTGACAGAGGGGTGGCGGTGGACGTGGTATACTTGGACAGAGGGGTGTGGCGGTGGACGTGGTATACTTGGACAGAGGGGTGTGGCGGTGGACGTGGTATACTTGGACAGAGGGGTGGCGGTGGACGTGGTATACTTGGATTTTGCAAAAGCGTTTGACACATTTCCCCACACACGGCTAATGTGTAAGGTAAGGTCTACAGGCTTGGAAAAATCTGTATGTAAATGGATAGAAAACTGGCTACAAGATCGTATTCAGAGAGTAGTGGTTAATGATTCATACTCTGAATGGTGTAGGGTTGTCAGTGGTATACCCCAGGGTTCAGTGTTGGGACCCTTACTTTTTAATATATTTATAAACGATATAGGGTCTGGGATTATAAATCCCATTTCGGTTTTTGCAGATGACACCAAGCTGTGCAGTGGAATAACGTCCTTACAGGATGTCTCCAATTTAAAAGCCGAACTCAATGTACTGTTGTTTAATTGGGCGACTATGTGGCAAATGAGGTTTAATGTTGATAAAATGTAAGGTTCTGCACTTGGGGGCTAAGAATATGCATGCATCATACATACTAGGGGGGGTACAACTGGGGGGATCAATGGTGGAGAAGGATCTGGGGGTTCTGGTAGATCACAAGCATAATAATGGCATGCAATGCCAAGCTGCTGTTTCTAAAGTGAGCAAAATCCTCTCTTGTATTAAAAGAGGTATAGACTCCAGAGAGAGAGATATAATTTCCCCGGTACAAATCATTAGTAAGACCTCATCTGGAATATGCAGTTCAGTTTTGGGCACCAATTCACATAAAGAACATTGGGAACTGGAGAAAGAAAAACAGAGAAGGGCAACCAAACTGATAAGAGGCATGGAGGAGCTCAGCTATGAGGAAAGATTAGAGGAACTGAATTTATTCTCTCTTGAGAAGAGGAGATTAAGGGGGGATATGATCACCATGTATAATACATAAGGGGGGATATGATCACCATGTATAATACATAAGGGTGGATATGATCTCCATGTATAATACATAAGGGGGGATATGATCTCCATGTATAATACATAAGGGGGGATATGATCACCATGTATGATACATAAGGGGGGGTGTATGATCATAAGGGGGGATATGATCACCATGTATAATACATAAGGGGGATATGATCACCATGTATAATACATAAGGGGGGATATGATCACCATGTATAATACATAAGGGGGGATATGATCTCCATGTATAATACATAAGGGGGGATATGATCACCATGTATAATACATAAGGGGGGGATATGATCACCATGTATAATACATAAGGGGGGGATATGGGGGGATATCTCCATGTATAATACATAAGGGGGGATATGATCTCCATGTATAATACATGAGGGGGGATATGATCTCCATGTATAATACATAAGGGGGGATATGATCTCCATGTATAATACATACATAGGGGGGATATGATCACCATGTATAATACATAAGGGGGGATATGGATCTCCATGTATAATACATAAGGGGGATAGGATCTCCATGTATAATACATAAGGGGGGATATGATCTCCATGTATAATACATAAGGGGGGGGATATGATCACCATGTATAATACATAAGGGGGGGGATATGATCACCATGTATAATACATAAGGGGGGGATATGATCACCATGTATAATACATAAGGGGGGGGTATAATACATATGATATGATCTCCATGTATAATACATAAGGGGGGATATGATCTCCATGTATAATACATAAGGGGGGATATGATCTCCATGTATAATACATAAAGGGGGATATGATCACCATGTATAATACATAAGGGGGGATATGATCTCCATGTATAATACATAAGGGGGGATATGATCTCCATGTATAATACATAAGGGGGATATATCTCCATGTATCATAAGGGGGATATGATCTCCATGTATAATACATAAGGGGGATATGATCTCCATGTATAATACATAAGGGGGGATGTATATACATAAGGGGGGGGATATGATCTCCATGTATAATACATAAGGGGGATATGATACCATGTATAATACATAAGGGGGGATATGAATCACCATGTATAATACATAAGGGGGGATATGATCTCCATGTATAAATACATCAGTGGTTCATATAGGGAACTTGGTGTAGAGTTATTCATCCTGAAGTCATCACAGAGGACAAGGGTGCACTCTTTATGTCTGGAGGAAAAGAGATTTAATCTCCAAATACGGAAAGGTTTCTTCACAGTGAGAGCTGTGAAAATGTGGAATAGACTCCCTCAAGAGTTGGTTCTGGCCAGCTCAGTGGATTGCTTTAAAAAAGCCCTGGATTCTTTCCTAGATACACAGAATATAACTGGATATAACATTTATAGGTAAAGTTGATCCAGGGAATATCTGATTGCCTCTCGGGGTCAGAAAGGAATTTTTTTCCCTGCATGAGCAAATTGGATCGTGCTTTGCTGGGGTATTTTTGCCTTCCTCTGGATCAACTGAAGGTGTAGGATTATAACTTTTTTTTTTCTAATGGTTGAACTGGATGGACTTTTGTCTTTTTTCAACCAGACTAACTATGTAACTGGCTATACATAGAACACTACACCGCCAACATGACCAACCACTGGACACGACCATAATACAATTCTATTATTTATTTGAGATGGATATAAAAAAGAAATGGGGACATTGCTTAGGGCTACCTCTGGAAATTGTCGCCAGTGGTCATTGATGTTGCTATTTAATGATATGAGGATACAACAGAAGGATATGCATAAACTGCTTCATGTTTGTAATGACAAAATGTATTTATTGCTGGGAGGTCGGGGGAGAGAGCAGTGTCTGTTTGACCGGAGCTGATACTCTCAGCTGGAGACACAGGTTGCTGCTCACACACCATTGGGGGTTACACTGCAAAGCTACACATTGAGACATAATCTAATTAAAATCAGTGGGAGTCCCTGGTCTTGTAACAACAAAGCAGAAGTGTTTATGCTAATAAATTTAACTATTGTCCCTTCTATTTAGCTGAAGAACAGCAAAGCAGCCCCATAATGCTAAATCAACTGTGCATACAAATCATTTTATAAACAACAATAATTAGGGTGTTCTGATAAACTGCCAGAAGGTGGCAGCAAACTAATATTTATTTTAAGTATTGTACAGAGCAGTTTATCACTGCTGAAATTAACCAGCTCGGCTCTGTATTATGGACTAGAGTAGGGTCTCCAAACTTTCCAAGCAAGGGCCAGATAACTATCCATCAGACTTTGTGGGGACCAGACTGTGGCCAATGTGAGCAGAAAATGCCCCTGGGGGTAAACAATGCCACATCATGGTATCAGTGGGAGGAATAATACCCTATTGCTGGTTTCAGTGGGAGGAATGTTGCTTCTTTGTTGGTGTCAGTGGGGGGTAAAAATGCCTTTTATCAGTGGCAGGAATAATGCCTCAAGGGCCAGATAAAGGGAAGCAAAGGGCCACATCTGGTCCCAGAGCCACAGTTTGGAGACCACTGGACTAGAGCAATGTAAAGGCCACATGCATACTTTTTTAACTGATTCTAGGAGCATCTGGCTTTTTTTTTCTCCCTGCCTTTAAACACCCCTGTATGTTAGCTTCCAGTATGTGTCCATGCACACAGGCTTTTAGAGGTGTTTAGAGGCAAAAAAAAACCCTCCACTGCCAGTGTGCTCAGTGAGCAGCAGCGTTTTTTGGCAGAAAAAAAAAACACTTGACATACAGGTGAAACTCGAAAAAAAAATGTGAATATCGTGCAAAAAGTTCATTTATTTCAGTATGCAACTTAAAAAAGGTGAAAAACCTAATATATGAGATAGACTCATTACCATGCAAAGCAGATAGTTCAAAGCCGTGATTTGTCATAATTGTGATGATTATGGCTTACAGCTCATGAAAACCCAAAATCCACAATCTCAGAAAAAATGAGAATATTGTGAAAAGGTGCAATATTCTCGGCTCAAAGTGTCCCACTCTAATCAGCTAAATTAAGCCATAACACCTGCAAAGGGTTCTTGAGCCTTTAAATGGTCTCTCAGTCTGGTTCAGTAGCAATCACAATCATGGGAAAGACTGCTGACCTGACAGTTGTGCAGGAAAACCATCATTGTGACACCCTCCATAAGGAGGGAAAGCCTCAAAAGGTAATTGCAAAAAGAAGTTGGATGTTCCCAAAGAAGTGCTGTATCAAAGCACATTAATAGAAGGTTATGTGGAAGGGAAAAGTGTGGAAGAAAAAGGGTGCACAAGCAGCAGGGCATGGACGCAGCCTGGAGAAGATTGTCAGTAAAGGCCATTCAAAAGTGTTGGGGACTTTCACAAGGAGTGGGACTGAGGCTGGAGGGTCAGTGCATCAAGAGCCACCACACATAGATGGATCCTGGACATGTGCTTCAAATGTCGTATTCCTCTTGTCAAGCCGCTCTCCCCTGAACCAACAAAACAACGTCAGAAGCGTCTTACCTGGGTAAAGAGATATCAGAGTGTGGTCTGTTGCTCCAGTGGTCCAAAGTCTCTTTTCGCCCCCTTGAGAGCAACTTTTGAAGCTCAGTTGGAAACCAAGGACCCCGAGTATGGAGGAAGAAACTGGATGAAGAGGCCCACGCTGCAAGATGCTTGAAGTCCAGTGTGAAGTTTCCACAGTTCTGTGTTGACCGTTCCCTGGGGAGCCCCTCCTCATCTGCTGGTGTTGGTCCACTGTGGCTTCAATATAAGTCCAGGGTCAACGCCAGCCGTTCTACAAGGCCCCCTGATTTTTGGTGCAACTTCATGCTTCCTTCCACAGACGTGCTTTATGTGGATGCTGAACTTCATTTTCCCTGCAAGGACTTTGGCACCTGCCCACACTGCCAATAAGCACCAAACCTGGTTTCAATGACCGCCCCCCCCCCCCCACTGTTGCTATTGATTGGCCAGTTATACTTGCCTGACCTGAACCCCCCCCATAGAGACTCTATGGGGCATTGCCAGAAGAGAAAGATGCTGGAGATCCTTCATGAGCCCCGATCTGAACAATGCAGAAGTGCTGTAACGGCCCGACCCTAATTGAAGCATCCTGGTCCCCCCTTCCCCACTAACACCTCAATGCAGTGCCACAGGCTGATAGCTTTCCATGCCACGCCGTCATTGAGGGCAAGTAATTGCTTGCAGAAGGGGCCCAACCCCCGCCACCGTACTGTGTACATCTGCCCCACATGCTTTCCTGCCCCTCAAATCCTGCCTTCCACGCTACCCCTCGAGCTACCTCCATCCCCCACGCAGCTTCCAATCAAGTCCTATCGTCCTGACCCTACATC